AAGCCCACAGCAGGCAGCAGTGGGGGAGCTGGCTCCATGCTTCTCCTGCTGCAACAGCTGCTGCCATCCATTGGGGGCAAAGAGCTGTGGACCTGGGGCCCTGGCCCCATAGCTCTGGCAGCTGGGGGCTTCCTCTGGCAGGGCTGGGGGGAAGGGGCTGTGGGTGTCCTTTAATTTTAATAACAGATTTTGGTGTTTTTATCAGAGAATTTGTGATTTTTTTTTTTTTTTTTTTACCAGGGAAAACCGGGATCCCTGCTCATTTTTAATCTTTTCACCCCCTAGCCAACTATAGATTAACACTGCCATGAGCTATAATATATCCCAGGACCTTAAGGTTCTAAAGCTATATGATAAATACTCCCAAAAGTGAAGTTATTTCTAAACTTGAAAACTGTGAATGATCACTAGGAGGGTTTTTTTGTCAATTTTGCCTGTTTACTCAAGTGACTTTAACCTGAGGAATCTTCAGGGTGAAAATAAGTTTCCTGCAAAATCTGCTCTACAAACAAACGACAAAGCTAGTTGATGGAGCCCTTAGAACTGCAACAATATTTGGATCTGGACACTTGCAAGTCATGCTGCTGATCTAACACATAAGCTCCTCAGGACAAAAACTCTTCCCTAAATTCAGCTGTTAAGTGTCATGCACACTCTTGGTACCATATAAAACACGTGCATTCAAACAAACATTTACAAAATTATTTTTCATTTAAATCTGAAGGTGTGATTCCACCCTGGCCTAACCCCACCCATGACTCTTAGAAAATGTAAAAAAGAAAATTCTCTTATTTATGGAATTCACTGTTAGGATGCTATTTTATTACCTGAAGTTCTGGGACAGATAGCACGGACTCTTCCGATGCAGATGACATTTCTTCATCCTCCTCATCTTGAGTAAAATCATCAAAATCCTCCTCTTCTTCCTCTTCCTGGCCATCCTTCTCTCCTCCTGCCTCAGGACCAGCTGGTGTCCCCACAGACTGACCATCCATGCTGGATAAGTCCTCTGGTTTTTCCAGTGGGCTACTGGACTCTGCTTTAGCATCTGTTGTAACATTCTTGGGAGACTCACTCACTTCTGCCCCAGTCACACCTGCTGCTTCCAACTCCTGTTCATCTTGGGTGGCTGGATGCATCCCTCTCTCTTCCTCTCCTCCCTTTTCGTCCTGGGCAGCACACTCTTTTTTAATTTCCTTCTGCTCATTTAGATGTTCAGCTGTGGCCTCCATGTCCAGCTCCTGCCTAAGATCTAACACAAATTCCTCTTTTATCTCAACACATGCAAAGTCTTGCCTTTTCTGGGTTAAGTTTTCCTCGAGGACATCACTGGGATCTTCAGGTTCAGTTTTTACTGTTTCTCTTAAAGTCCCTAAATGCACAAGATCTAAAGGTAATGGCTCTAAGGCTTTCTCCTCCGCTGTCCAACTGCAACAGTCACCCTCATTAGTCTTCTCCTGGCTGTCACTGATGGCAGCAGCCAGATTTATGTTGTGTTCCTTCTTAGGGGAGATGGCAGGGCATGAAGAGTGTAGATCTGGGTGCTCCACTTTAGGCTCCACTATAGGGTAGGAATTTTCATCATTTACAGCAGAACAAGAGGTGATTGGATTCACTTGCTCTTTGTCTTCAGCAGTTGATGAACTAGGAAGACCTACAGCATTTGAAGAGACTATCAAAGGAGGGACTGAGGAAGTCATAAGAGGTTGATTCAATGGGCATGGGAAGGTGGTGGGATTTACCAACAAAGTAGTTACTGGAATAGTTTGACTGCTTCTGCCAACTGCTGTATTTATGGGTTGAATCATATTGCATCCATTGCCAATATTAACCACTTTCACTGTGGCAGCTGGTACAGTGAGGATGACAGGGGCCGGCTGGATCAGAGGGGCAGTTTTTAGTAGAGGGGAAGGCTTTGCACCCTTTTTCCTTTGGTATCCCCTGCGAACACAAGGCTTGCGGATCTTCGATGCAGCCAATGTTGAAAGGACCATTTTTGGCTGAAAAGTCACAGGGGTTGAGGTTATCAGTGCTGACGGTACACCAGCAGGAAGACAAGTTCTGGAATCAGAATGTAGAGTGGAGAGAGCGTTCTGAAAGTCCAGGCTTTCCCCACTTCCTACTCCAGACGGGATGTTCAGATGCTGCATTCCAGGCACAGTCTGCATAACAGTAGCTGGCTGGATTAACCGGGGAATGTGGACCACAACTTTGCTTGGAGGAGCTTCTGATTGGGATAACTTTACAGCAGTTTTCTGGACATTGATGGTATTGGAACTAGGCTGCATGCACGGACTTGGTCGAATGAGGAGAGGCTTGAGGGCTGCAGACCTCTGCCTCCTCCATACTCTCCTAGAGAAACGGTTGGCAAGGGGCTTCAGCATCAACACTATTCCCTTGGGCAAGAGCAGAGGGTACTTTCCATCACATTCTGCATCTGCTGTTTCTTTTCCTGTCCTCACAAAATCAGACTCTGCACAGGGTGAACCCGTCGTCTCTCTTGCATCTTCTAACTGTTTCAGTTCTCCTTGAATGGAGGATAAACTTGCCTACAGAAAACACAGACTCTAGTTATTTCAGTCCCCAGATGCTTGCTCCTTGCAAACAACAGTGATGAATTGGAGGCAGAAAGTTACGCATAAAGCAAACTGACGTGCGCGCACACACATGGGAGGAGAGGATGGTTCTATTTACTGCTTATTCTCTAACTTAAATGAAAGACTCTTACAGGTTGCAATTCTTTGGAAGTAGGAATGTGACCAAATGGCGCATGTCATGTTTCTCTTCCAAACTAGTTTGTAAAGACTTCTTTTAAAAGAATAAGGGTATGGGGAGGAGGCTTCAAAGACTCCCTAAACCATAAAAGAGGGTGAGGTCACAAATGTCATCAATATGTCAACAGGCTCATCTGATGAACTGGTCTTGGGATACCTGGGCTCAATTTTTGGCTCTGCTATACAACTTCTGTGTTAGTTAGGCAAGGCACTTAATCACTCTGCTTCCATTTTTCTGCACAGTGCAAAGGATTTTGAGGGAAAAACAATCATTAATGAATGTGACACATTTGGATGCTACTAGGACATGGGGTGGATCACAGGAAAGCAATATTCAAATCACAGATTTGCATTTTGCTCCTAGGTCAGCACTTGTAAAGTGATAAATGTTTTTCTATCATCAGGCTGTTCAGTGCAGCAAGGAAGGTAGTGATGCTTCTGACAGTGAGCTGCTGGTCAGGCTAATTTTGGATATATACAACCTCAAGGTATGCGACAAAGTATTTCATCCCACTGAAATAAATGAGCATACTTCAAAGCCAACAACACTAAAGCCTTGTTTACATTACAAAGTTCTGCCAGCAGAGATGCACCAGTTATGGGTATGAAAAGATTATACGTCTTCACAACTATTGTTATCTGTGTTATCAAAACTAGCAGTTTGCCTATCTGTGAGCCAGTCCCACCTTCATTTTGCTAATACACATACCCTAAACAGCTCATTAGCTCTCAGGTCAGGATGGGAAGCAAAGACAAATTTAAATGGCAAGCAACATACCTTCAGCCAGAAGGGCAGGCGATGTTCTTCTCTCTCTACAGGGGGTTTCCACTCATGAGGCTGGACCTCCTCGCAACACTTGAACAAGATGGGCAACTGTTTTGTTTTCTTGTAATACTGAGGAGACAAGGGGGAAACTCCAACAAGTAAATTCAAAGTAGTACAGGAGATCTCTCAAAGCCAAGTGTCAGAAAACATTATCTAGAAAGTGCACGCTGGGAGTTCAAGTGACCTAAATTTACTTTTCTTTAGCCAGAGTGCACTTTAAATACACAGATGTGAAAAAATTTCAGCAAGATCTGCACCTGAAAACAGACATAGCAAAACTACTGAGAGGAATCTTATTATTTCAAATTTATCTGATTTACAGTTGTATTAAAGTTCTCTGTAGAAGATGCTGGGTCCCCAAGAAGTGAACAGACCAGCTGTAAAATAAGGGAAAGGGAAGGGCTCCAAATAAGTCCTTATCCACAACAAAAATGAAACTTCACATTACTGGTTAAGAAATATCACTACAGGCAGTATATAAGGTCCATGTTTTCTCTTTTGCGTGAACACTCCCAACACAACCACTTACAAAATGAAAATGGCATAATGCATAACTCACTCTGACGATATTGTCAGGGGCTCGGTTCATGTTGAGATTCTTGATTCTCACTGTTAACTGGTGGGCGGTCTTTGGTGGCATGAGATATTTGCTGATTAAAGGTTTAGGAAACTCTGTCCCATCAAAATGCTTCAGTCCTAAAGCCAATAAACTGCAAAGGAAAAAGGTCTGTGAGACCAGTATTCAACCTGTAGCAGATATAAATATTCTTTATTTGTCTTCATATCTGCTAACACCCTTGAAGTTCTTTTCTTTGGTCACCTGTAGCAACAATAAGCCCTTGAGAAGAAGAGTACAGAATGAACACAGCTTAGTCAACTGCTAAATGTGGTTTAGCCTAGGACAAAGGTGCTCATCCCTTGGCCTGTGGAGCTCCCCATAGGTCTGGAAATTCATCAGCAGAAGAGAGGTGGCACTGCTCTCCCGCTGCCAAACCTCTGGACCCATGGGAAGCCCTGGGCCCTACATGCTGGATCCAGCACCTGATCTCAGCATGCAGGGCAGGCTAGTGCAGCACCAGGCTCCAGGGCCCAATCTCAGTGTAGAGGGCTGGGTTGGGATAGTACTGAACACCCAGAACTCAATCCTGGCACACAGAGTGCAGGAGGGAGGGGGAGCTGACCCCTTGGGGGACAATCCCTGTGTGTGGGGGGCAGAAAGGGACTGTGCCAGGCCCCAGGGCCTGATCTGGCCTGCAGGCCACTCATCTCAAGTGCAAGTTCAAAAGGTTGAGCACCCCTGATTTGGGAGAAAGTTGTAAATGATGATATATGGAATTCAGTCAGGCACACAACAAAAAAACCAAACTAGTGTGCATACTGGATTCAGAATGTCTCTCAATACAAAGTGCCCTCTTCAACTGTCCTCTTCAAAAAAAAAAAAGCAACAAAAAACTGGCTCCATAGCTCAGTTAGAGCACTGGCCTTGTAAATCAGGGGTTGTGAGTTCAAACCTCACTGGAGCCTTGACCTCCTTTGGGGTTGGACTTCATGATCTTTAATAAGTAAGACTAACTGCACTCTCTTGCATTAGTAGGTGCATCACAAGCAGGTCTGGTGAGGTTATACTTCCCCTCTATGCAGCATTGGTGAGGCTGCAGCTGGAGTACTGCATCCAGTTTTGGGCACTGCACTTCAAGAGGGATACGGATAACCTGGAAAGGGTTCAGAAGAGGGCTATTCGCATGTTGAGGGCCTGCAGGTAAGATCCTATGAAGATAGATTGAGAGACCTGAATCTCTTCAGCCTCCACAGGAAAAGGCTGAGAGGTGATCTTGTGGCCGTCTATAAGCTCATCAGTAGGGTTCAGCAGGGAATAGGGGATACTTTGTTAACCAGGCCGCCCCTCGGGGTTACTAGAAACGACGGCCATAAACTGATGAAGAGCAGATTTATATTGGACATCAGGAAAATATTCTTTACAGTGAGGGTTGCCAAAATATGCAATGGGCTTCCAAGGGAGATAGTGCTTTCCCCTACCTTGGAGGCATTTAAAAAAGAGGTTAGGCAAGCACCTGGCTGGGGTTACTTGACCCCAGCACTCTTTCCTGCCCAGAGCAGGTGGTCAGACTTGATGATCTAACAGGTCCCTTCCAACCCTAGAAATCTATGAAACTGTTAAAATCTGTGGCCTTCCCTCCAAATGGCTGTAAGGAGATGTTACTCTAGGAACAGGGGTGCTCAATCCCCAGCCTGTGGGCTATATCTGGCCCTTGGTACCGTGTCATCTGTCCTACCAGACTCCCCATGGGTCTATGAGGAGCCCCATACATAAATGGCCTTGTGTGCTATATCAGGTGCACAGGGTGGCATGAGGGGCAAGGCAGGGGCAGCCCAGAGCCCCAGGGGCTTGATTTGGGCACAAGGGACCTGATCCTGAGATGCAGGCTCAGGTGGGGCCACAAGGCCTGATTCTGGCACTGGACTGGGGGCATGCAGAGGCAACCTGGGACCCAATGCAGCCAGTGGACTGAAGCTACACCACTCCTCTGGCCCACAAGGTCAAAAGGCTGAGCACCACTGCTCTAGGATGTCCAGGCATCCCATAAGATGGCTATAGTATCCCACTTGTTTCCCGATGGAAGGCAGCTCCATTCATATGTATTTTACCCCCTTAAAACCTACTTGTCCTCTGCCTTGGTGAAGAAAATCTTGTCCCGGGGAGTTTTTGCCTTCAGAGAACATATTGGTAGCAACTCTGGATACATAAAGACTCTTCTTGTTGCCAAAATCCATGCCACTTGTTTTGGCAGACAGGGAAATTCATTTGCTGTGAAAAAAATTAACATAACAGCATAAACTGATGCAATCAAACAATGGTAGGAGCTCAAATATTGCTACTCACTAGCATCTTATTGTAACCACCATTGTCCTTGCGCCTTCTGTTTGTGAAAGCAGCACAGGCTGGGGTTTTTCACATCTTGAAAGACATCTGCAAAGATACCCTGGGATTACAGGACTACCAGGCTAAGCAAAACGGGAGAAGTCCTACGAAATGTGCTTGCTACTCAATATTCCCATGGTTTAAGAAACAAGGTGGCTAGTAATACTGAGGTCACCAGATAAAGACATCCCAGACAGGGTGCCATAAAAGAATGGAAAGTTTCCTATTAGAGTAAAAAAAAAGCAGAATCCAATTTTGAGGAGGATAGCACCAAACAGGCTGTTACTACCCTACAAATCTGCTACCCTTTCAGTTACATACCAGTCTTTTTCCCAGGTTTGCGAGGGCTCCAATCAATTTTGACCTGGGTGTGGAAGTCATCAATGAGCTGCAGTGCTCCCTTCAAGTTACATGGTTGGAATACTGTTTGAAATTTGGAACTGAATTGCTGGCGAAGGAGGATGGAGCTTTGAGCAAAGTTACTCAGCTCAGTCTGAGGGATCAAATACGAAAGAGAAGATGAAAGGACTTGCTTTCAATGTAAGTAACATCTCTACAACTGTCACTCAAGAAAGTAAACCTGCCAAATGGGAAGGCACAGAAATCTGCAGAGTGACAGTGGTCTTTAGTCCTACTTCTGTCCCTAGCTATTAGCTCTCAATCATGGAATGACTGATTAAGTCTATTCTGCCAATCTGCCCACCCAGACCACCACATTCTTGCCACCATAGTACACACTATTTCAGTAAGCATCAAAGTAATAATATGGTTCATGATACTAGTATTTAAAAAATATATATATCTAAAGGAACACTCTCTCATCTCATCTTTGCAGGAGAGCCCCACTGCTCACTAGAACTGAATTCTTGATTTGAGATAGATTCTTACCAGAAACATCCTAGTGGTGCTGGTTTCTGAACTCAGACTGGCGTTGAAGCTGGTAAGAAGGTGAATTTGAGTCAGGAGCTGGACATGCTGCAAGAACAAGTCAGGCAAGTGAAGCTTTTTAGATGTACTAATGTTCAAAAGTACTGGAAAAGGTTCTAAAGCATCAACTATGTTGTAGCACGCCATCATATTAAGCAGAGGATTTGCTCTGCAATGTTTAGCAAAACTGAACATAATATTTACGTTTGATAAATTCCAAGAGCCTCTTACCTGCTGCATTTGCTGCTGGAGCCTCTTTCTTTGTGCATTATCCAAAACCAGTGTTTGGAGTGGCTTTTCATTTTGAGGTTTTGGCCTCTCTACCTCCTGTGGTTGCTTAGTTGAAGATTTCTTCATTCGCAGCTGTTCAAGCTGTTCTTTTACTGTCCGATGCTGTTCATTCAGTAAGTTGGCCAGAGGCTCTTCAAACCTGTTCCAGATCAAGCAGATAGAATTATGCCAAGTCCATGACTTAGAGGCGGCTCACATCATCCTGGTGTCTCCACTAGAAAGTATCGCTATTAATATATTCTGGATATTAACATTAAGGTATTCTGTGAAGCATAAGTAAAAGCAAGCTACCATTGTACCACTTGTACTTCTTAGCAGTCTTCATCTTAAGAAACCAAAAAGTATTTTGGAAACGTGGCACTTACAAAATCCATTAATCTACCACTGAAACACTCTTACTGAAGAGTGCAGCAGTAACTTTTGCTTGAATTGACAGTTCAGACAAAGAGTTAAGATAAATCCTGCATTCAGCTGAACCTAAGAGGAGGACGGCACAGTTGGAATTTGACAAAACCACTTCTGATCCTTAGAAAAGTGTAATGGGATCACTGATGAGCATGAGCAGTCAGTTTTTTCATTTCTCTTTTTAATCTGAAAGACAAACCTTTTAGCAGCATCCATTCCAACATTATGCTATGGCATTTGTTCATTATTGGTTCAGGTAAACACACTCCCTATTCAATCATTTGTACCATTTTCTGTTACATTCCAAGTTTACAAGGACATTATCTTGCTTAAGTGCCCAGATACAACTGCATAAGCATGGCATAAGAATGAGATTAGACAAAACTAAAACAGAGAGATCAATCAAAAGCTGAACAGGCCTGATCCAAAAAACAGAGCTCACACTACTTTAACACTACTTTAACTGCAATGATTACCATAATCAGCCTGGATATGATCACCTACAGGTCTCTGTTGCAACAGGTGTGCTTTGTAAATGTAGGAAGTGTCCTAGCCAGCTATTCCAGTGCACATTTGCTGCTGCCTTTCTAAGAACAGTGCTAGGTGCCAGTCCATTTAAGACAGAGCTTACTCACTAGCCCAGTCAACTCTCTCTCACCACTAACCAAACCCATCTCTGGATCAAGCCCAGAGATAGTCACAATCAGCAACCTCTCCAAGACAGGAGTGGCCAACCTGTGGCACACAGGTCGCAAGTGGTACAGAAAGCCTCTCCATGGGGAACACAGCGGATCAGAGAGGAGGCAAGCAGTGGCAGACAGGGCAGAGCAGAATGATTAGGGAGCACAGAGCGAGGAGTAGAAAGAAAGAGCAGCAGATTGGGCAGGAGACGGAGATTGGAGTAATACCCAAAGAGGGCATGGGGCTAATTTATGTCATACCAGCCCAGAAAGTTGACCCCCACTACTCTGCAGCATTCATATTACAAGGTACTACAGGGAAAGGGCCAAAGAACAAACAGATGCCTTTACAAAGACACCCCCTTCAAGAATTCAGAGGAAGCAGCAGTTAGGAGGAGAATTTAACCTACAAGTGAGAAATGGATGCAACTAATCAGAGCCCAAAAAGGTGAGTGATACAAATAAAAAGGTGCAAGGATAAAACACTCTTTGTATTTTGACTGTAGCTGGTAAAAGATTTCTACACTCCCCTCCAGCACTGCTTATCCAGAGAGGTGCAGAAGCCCAGCAGTCACTTTAGCTCCCTTCCCAAACAGAAACAGCTTAGTCTTGAGCTGGGCTGCCCCACATACAAGGAGGCTTCATCACACAGCAAGTCACAGTCAGCCTGCTAGTTAACTCCTAGTGTTTCAATAGTAGATAACTATAGCTGGAAAAAAAAAAAAGTTATTAAGCATAGGAGCATGAGGATGACAGCCAAAGCCTTTCAAAACCAGCTCACTGGTTCAAGTATATTCTATGCCAATAGTTATCAAAATGCTGACATCTTATCTACAGCTGTTGCAGTTCTATGCTGCTACACAACATTTCCAGCTGCCTCTTTGCTGATTGCACCCTGCTATTCCAGTGATATGCATTGGGAGAACACAGCATGGAGTATAGTACTTGTTCAGCCTTGCTCAGAGACAGTACTCTTATTAACAGAAAATCCAGAGGTATTACGTTAATTACTTCACAATAAAGGAAAGAAATCTGTCTCTATCTCAGGCCAAGGGTCACAATGCTATGCAATATTACCATTTGTGCCATAATGCATAAAAAAAGGCTCAGAATACCTTCATGCTCTAACAAGGATTCTACTGTCTATGGCTTTTTCCCTTCTTTTTTCTTTTTAAATGAAGCCTACCTGAGTGCCTGTGGTGTATTAAAGTTTGGTCGTGACTCTGCAATGCTGTCTTCATCTTCTGGGCCTTCATCTTCCATGTTGGAAAAACCCATCTCATCCTGGAACTGACAAGAAATAAGAAGTTGCTCAGCAGTTGTCAGGAATACAAGACAAAGCTCAGGCTTCAGGAAAGACTTATGGTTTGGCACAAATTTGCCACAGTGGGCCTATACTAGTGCTCTCAGCAGACATACTTGCCTTCATTTGGACACTCTCTCAACCTTCTCTCTAGGCTCGCTAGAGAACAGAATCCCTTATATTGAGTGTACATTGATATATCTAGTACAGATCCCCATTGTATGGCTCCAAGTGACACCTTCAAAGACTGTCAGCTTCAGAATAGATACACTTCTACAGCTTTAGCTCTGAATTTTCACTTACTGTCTCAAATAGTTCCTCCATTAGTTCATTCACTTCTTTCTCTGTAAGAAAATAGGATAGGGTTATGAAGCTTCTTTTTTCCAGCAACAGATTTAGTGATCCAAGAGTTGTTTACTATTTACAAAATCTCCACGAATGTAACAGATCCTTGCAAGCTCTCCAAGACAAGAAGATGGAGAAGAGTCCACACATTCTCTCTTACATGGCCTGAAATGGTAGCAACCTATTTAAAGGGCTAAGATTAATATAGCCAATTTAAAATACTTATTATCACTTGAGGTATTCAAGGAGAGGTTGGACAGGTATTGGTCAAGGATGATCTAGGAGAAGATATGACTATGCTCTGCAATGGATGCTCTACATGCTCTGTAGGCTATGCTCTACAATGCTTCTGGACTTTGCTGGTTGCCACATGCTGCTGGGAAAGAATTTTTCCCCCTTCTGTTGCTAGACGCGTCAGGGTTTTTATTCCCTTCCTCTGAAGCAATGGATGTTGCTTGCAGCCAAGGCTGGGGATTGTGACTAGAGTGTGCCAATGCTCCTGCTGGAACTTAAACTCAGAAGTTCCTGGCTAGAGGGTCTTGCCCCTCCATTTAGGGTCAGGCCAATCACCATATCTGGGGTCAGGAAGGAATTTTACCTCATGCTCAGATGGCACAGGACTGTGGAATCTAACAGGAGATATGTCCGTTTTCCTTGGATCTCTCAGGCATATATTTTAATAACCTTCACAGCAGCTGGACATTGGCCACCACTGTTCCCCTGCTCTATCTGTAGCAGGTTAGGGTCTTATGCCTTGTAGTTGCACCAGGGTTGACTGTGGTTTTACTGATGAGTCAGATAACGGATCTGTATAAAATTGTTTGGACGGAGACAATCCTACCACTGGTAGGGGTAAGGACAAGACGACCTCTGATGGTCCCTTTCAGCCCTACTTCTCTATGCTTCTATGATATTAACAGATACTTCTCAAACTGAAGTAAGTTAAAGAAAAATCACATAATCATATACAGAAACAGGGGAAGATATTTACCCTGTGGTCAAACTTGGGTTTTGACACATCATATACTACAAATAAGAAACCAAATAAGCTCTCTTCTTCCTTCTATGAACAGGTAACAGAAGATGAAATCTGCTAATTCTAAAACTGTTAAAATTGTGGGCCATATTTTCTAAGGTATTAAGGTGCCTAAAGATTCAGCCTTGAAGAAACTAATGTTAGCAAAGGACTTACTGGTGATTCTCACAGCACGATCATTTCTGAAATCTTCCGTGTCTGGTTCATCCAGATCTTCCAAGAAGTTGTATTCAGGGTCATCGTCATCATCTGCCTCATCTAGCAAAATAAATATTTTGAGCTATTTTTTCAGATATAGATAGTAAGTGCTAATAGCGACCTGGAAAAATGCAGTGCACTTAATGACTATCCTGCCACACAGAGACAAGACTAAACTTTAGTGTTTTAAGAGATCTGCAATTTGTTCAATTGTCAGGGAAGCTAGGTTTAAGTAAAAGAAGTGTTCCCTCAGAATACCTGACAAAAGGCCTCCAAGATGGGTAGATTCAGGCAGACAAAACTTTTCTTATCCATTATTAATGACCATATCACTGTATCATTCAGACCATGATACAAAGTAGCGTGTTGGGAAAACCACATATGCATGCACACAAACCAGCATATCTGGTTACACTGGGCACTGATGTATCTATAGTTTGGCTGAGATGCATTTCAATCCCACTGTCTCTCAAGGGCAGCATTAAACTAGCTTTTAAGAGAGCAATTTAACTAGAGCAATATGAGTACAGGGAAGGTCAGAAGCTCTTGTCCTGCAGCACTAACCAAGTCAACAGTTCCATATGAGACTGTCTGGTATAAAACAAGATGAGAAAGCATCAGCTTCCCACACACAACCCCTAAATAGCTCAGAACTGAAAACACTATTCACTGAATAACCAGTACCTTCATTCTCTGCATCATCATTCATGAGTCCCCCAAGCCATCTTTTCCATTCTTCATCATCTGCAGTATTTGGGTCATACATGTCTGGTGTTATATCTGGAGCACGGAGCTCAGCCTCCAACTGACCAAGAGGCACATCCTTCAGGGGTCTCTTTGATCGGGTGCGGAAGGCAATAAGGCTGTCTTCCAGAGACTGAAACATGGACAGAAAACAAAATAGAATCAAAGCCTCCCCATTACTCTTCTAACCTCCCTGGTACCAAGCATTTCAATTCAGCCACAAAAGGAGCAACAAACTGGACACTCTGAAAATATGACTCTTATTGCCAAAAGATTTGTTCTAGTGTTACTCCCTTCAGCTGTAAGATTTCATGACTCTATAATTACTACATTGAAATATCAACTAAACAATATTTTGAAGTACATAGCACTCAAGTCTTAGAAAGCTCTCTCTCCCGTCAATATTTTATTCCTTGGTTATTTTATCCTGTTCATCGCAAGCATTCCTTCTGAGCTGTTGAACAGAACCTCCTCTTCTGGTCTCTATTTCACTGCAGCTCAGTAGGCTCACTGAAAGTGCAAAGGTTAATCCCAACATACTAGTCCCTGATGTTGTAAATGGCGTTCTGGACATCTGCTCCTAATTTTACAGGCTGACTTTGTTACATGGTTGGGTCACTCCAAAGGGAACAATTTATAGTTTCAGCTTAATATAACACATGTTATAATAATTAAGCAAAACAGAAACTTCCCCATGATTTAAACAAAGTTTCAATGACCCATTTTTAAAACATTCTATAGATGTGATTAAAACCTGAATACTGCAGTACTAATACCATAAATGGGAAACTGAGTAACTTACGTGAAACTGATGTCATTTGTCTTACTTCTAAACAAATACTAAATAGCCAAGAAGGTTTAACTCTCTCACTTTTAAATACTCTTCAGGTGTTAGTAATGTACTTGGTTGCAAAAGTTATTAAGCTGACAGAACCTCTTTAAAAAACAAAGTTATATTAATTATGGATGAACTAATCACCAATATGGTAGGCTTCTGTTCTCCAGTTAAACCACATGTCCCAATGACAGTAAAAGTTACAATAAATGCTTCACTAGGACCAACACAGTTATGACACAGGAAAAAATATTCCATGGCTATGTCCCTCAACTAACTGAACTGAAGGTATTAGATCTGATTAACTTAAAAGTAAGAAACAGACAAAATAAGAGGGGGATAATATGTTAGAGGGATTTTGCAGACAAGTTTCAGACAGGAGGACCAGACAATTAATCTCCCATCAATAATATTAATTTGCATGCACCATTCTCAAACATATTACCTGGTAAGAATCCATGCACATGGGACTAGAAGCCAGTTCCTCATCCACAGCATGTAGCTTCTCCATAAAGGTGCTGTCTTTATTCTGTTTCGGTTTAGGAGGGGGTGGAGGCCCCATAGGAACCACTTCAGCACTAATGTGCCTAACAAGGGGTGTAGTAACCTTCTCGACCTAATTAAGAGAGGCCTTCATCTTAAAAGATTTTATTTATAGCAAGGCTGTCAAACTGGTGTCCGACATGCAGCTCTCCAAGGTGTTAAATTTCCTCCAGTGCTCTTACTGCCAGTCTCAGGGCTCCCTCTCCCTCCTCCAGCTTCTTCTGCCTGCCCCTTGCGGGGGTGGGTGGGAGAGGGGAGGGGTGGCACAGCTCACAGAGCCAAGAGATCCTACAGATTTTGGTACAGGGCAGTGATGGGGTGCCAACAGCATGGCAGGGGCAACATCTTGCATGATGCAGCCTGCGGCTCCTGGCCACTTAGAAGATGGACAACCCCGTTTGATAAGGTCTGTTTTTTTATTTTCCTTAAACTAGGTCCTACTGAATTGGCTGCTTCTGAGATGCAATTAAGAAGGTATCACTGATGGATATAAACTGTTGGATTTATACAAGGACAATGAGGGTATACAACTATTTAGATCTAGCAGGAAAGGAAAAATGTATAATATTTCAGTCTAAACACGTGGTTGGAGAGCAGCTGCTTATTGTCTAACAGCAGAAGACTGAACAATAATGTCTAACTGGTAACTTAGAATTAATTATTGAAGCTTTCTGAGAAAGTGCTAGAGCTGTGATGTAACATGCACCTCAGAGAGTGTCCCTCCCTCTTCCTCCGTCTCCATCATATCAGACGAGCGTCTTGTCCTAGGTCGCTTTGGTCCCCGAGGAGAAGAGGCAGTGCTCTCCACATCACTTTCCAACAAACTCTGTAACATAAAAGAAGCAGAACACAATTGAGTAAAACTGCAAAATACAATGACTTCTTTTTTAAAGACAGGTTCCAGTGATTTTATACATCATAAAATTAAAGCAGAAGATTTGTATATTAAGGAAAGACTGAACAATTCTACAGCTAGCAAAAGACTTATTTCACACCTTTGAGATCAAATTCCTACCAAAATAGAGTACATTTTAAAAGCACCCCACTGCCTCACATAAAAAGAAATTAAGATAGGAATATGTTCTGCCACTGTTACCTCTTCAGCAGTCTCATCCTCCTCCTCCTCCTCTGGCTGGTATTCCTCATCAGATGAATCATCTTCTTCAAGAGGAATGTCCACAAACTGAGGGGGCTGCAACAAGCCAAAGAAAGGACACAAGCTTTACAAGAGTGTACTAAAGGGTTATAGGTAAGTGAAATGAAAGTTCAAATGTTCATGACAACTGAGGATATATATGGCAGAAAAGAAGAATGATGAGAGGTGCATAGGGTAGTCAATTTGAGCAAGGGCAGCTAGTGAAATGGGTGGATTCAGAAATCAAAGGATGGGTACAACTTGTTTCAATTTAAAAGTTTTTGAGTTTTCTCCCCAACTCCTCAAATGGCTAATATTAAACCCACCTGCTGGTTTATGTCTAAAATTATACTGTAAGATCTATGGGATAGGCAGTGCCCAGGACAATAAGTCCTGTTCCTGACTTGGCCTTTTAATCAGGACCACAATACACGTAGTAAAATAAAACAAAACAAAACAAAACAGGAAAACAAGCTATAAATAAGTAGGATGAGAGGGGACAGCAGAAGAGAAACATCAGGGTCAAGGACAAGAACCCACGATGAAACAGGTATGTATTTTCCTGGGAGGCTTCGTATAAGAATGCAAATCTGCTTGTAACAAACTCTGCAGACAGAGGAAACAGCACAGATTCACCTTTCAGTTGCTAACCTTGATCTCATTAGGCTTCTTAATTGGTGAAATATTCCAGGTAGGAATTACCTAAGTAAAACAAAACTGCTGTTAGTAGTCAGTACAAGATCAGATTTCCCCAAAACCCTGATATAGGAGCACAGAAGAACAGGGCTTGGGAGCCTATTCCCAAAATTACACACGACTAAAATACATGCTTTCTAACTACCCAAAATAAGCCTCCTACATGGGATACTCTCATTTCACTGTCTAGGCTTTATCCACGTGACTTTGCAACACTGATCGTTTAACGCAAGGAAATGCCATTTTTTTAATTTAAGCTTAACACAAATACAGGTATAGATATAGATGCACACACTTCAATCTTCTTGGCTTGGGAATAGTTAACAAGAAACATTCTTTCTACTTCTTACTCCCAATAGCAGCAATAAAAGGAGTTTATAACCTTTCCCTGGTGAATGGAAAAAGGCATTAATACATACTCACCACTCCTTTCTCTACTACTTCCTTTAACTTGGAACGAGTCATCTTTGGCTCCTAAGAATTAAAAAAAGAGGGTATGCTACTTTCTGTAACTAGCATTTTTAACCAATATCTTTACCACAAGTTTTCTGCACCTTAGTGTTAAGCACACCACTTGTCTGACATAGTGGGCAGAATATCTGAGTTCTAAGCTTAATACTTGATGATACTGATTAACTATTTTCCACTCAGTTACTTGTCTCACCCAGCTGCCACGACACTTACAAAAGTGCAAATTCTAATTAGGGGTGCACCAACAGAGATTTTCTGGGCTGATACTGATGGCCGATTTTTAAGGAGCCATGTTGCCTGATACTGATCCAATTCCAATCTGCAGCCGGACCAGTGTCGGGCTGGTAAGTCTGTCATGGGGGAAGGGAAGGGGTGTGTGGGGATGTAGATCAAAGCCCCTGCAGTTAGGGAGGGAGTGGGGCTAGGGCAGGTGCTCCACAACTGGGGTGGGGCACAGGACAGAGCTGTGAGTGGCTTGTCTAGGGGGTGCAGGGAGACGGAGGCGGCTCCTGTACCCAGGAGGGCATGTGCCCCCCCGGAGCTGCATGCAGGGCCGGGGTGGGCTGGTGCTGCAGACTGGGGGAGGCGCAGGGCTTTCTGTGGGACAGGGCTGCAGCCACCCCAAAATTCTCCATAACACCGCCCCCCTTTTTTGCACTAAGCGCAGCCTGGCCCAGCCCCCTGCCAGGAAGAGCTCAGCGCCAGCAGCAGCCCGCCCTTGCCCTGCACAGATCCGGGGGAACACCCCCACCATGCCCTCCCAGGTTGCGTGCAAGGATGGGAGCCCCCCCTCCCAGATGAGCCGCTCCTGACTCCATCCGATGCCCC